CAAATATTACAAAATATTATTTAGTCTTTCTCTTGTCCGAAAATATGATATACTTTCATGATATTATTTACAAAATCGTTGTGAAACTATATGAAAAGTCTGATCTGAAGAATCCGTCTAAACAATATAAATCGAAAAACAATTGTACTGAACATCGATGTGGAGAGCAAAGCCTATAAAGCCGCAATGCAAATTTCATTGAGTGCAAATTTTCCCAGATCGTAAGTAAGCAGCCAGATGACTAGGATGGCCACCCCTTTAAAAAAGTTTCGAAAATTGTAAAAAGCAAAAGACATTTTTTGCTTATCTCCATTGTTTATGTAATTTTCTACATTGTATGTTGGATTGATCAATCCAGCTATTGTTGTTCCTAACTGTCTAACAATCCAGTCAAACTAATCTCAATGTTTTTTTTTTTTAACCAACCAAATTAACGAATACTATAAAATATGTTAATTATTTTATTTTTTTTCAAACAGTGGCCCACTCTGAGGTGATTGCAACTTTCTTATTATCTACGCATACCAAATTTCTCTATTTTACGTTGTTTGCGAATATCATATCTTCTATATGGCACAACAGCATAAATCGAACTTGCATTTTTGTTGTTTTTGTAAAGAAAGCATGCACTTTTATCCATTCCATGTGCGTAATAACCTACTTATATATATCATAACCTACTTATATATATGAACAAGTATGAAGCGATGATTTGAGAGACAGATGTTTAATACCACGTGTATAGGACATACATGGCTGCAGTTTTTTTGGTTTTTATAGCTTAAACATTGTTGACAGAATAACCAATCGTTATATGAACACAAATCTTAACGTAACTATATTTTTGCCAAGTTTCGTGCCAAAGAAAATGCATTGGTCGAAGACATCTTTTCTTTTGTACGGCACAGAAGAAAGTCGTTTGTTGTCAGTGATAAATAATGGATTTGTTTTGAGAAGCCCAGGTATAAAAACTCCTGGGTATGCCTAGAGGCATCATATTCAGCTTGGCCCTAAAAAGGAACAGTTTTTGCGGGAGGACGATGGTCTGTGTTTGGTGGTTGGTCGCGCAAACGCTCTTACCAGTTGTTAATATATCCTCCACTTAAGCCTTTTGCTGTTCAAAAACCTACCGAAGACAATAGAAAACATGAGGCCATTTTCTTATCTTACATGTATCCATCCATCCACATACTGCAAAGACGGTCCGCTACATCTTAGAAGGATCCAAACTGCAATTGCTAACTCGTGAGGCTTATTCACCAGTCCCGAGTGTTTCCAATTGCCATTTGCTTGCATCAATGAGTAGCGTATTTGTGAAGTAGCGTCTTGTGTCTTACGAAGATGTTAAGGAAATAACTCGAAGAACAGTTCGTAGCAATAGAGAAAGATATTTAAAAGACGTGTTATCCATAAACAGCCCGAAAGATAGGAAAAATGTGTAACGAGCGAAGGAGCATACTCTGACTGAACCGCTTTTTATCGCCCTTCTGAACTGTTAAATTCGTATTTGTAGGCTTAGGTACATGTAAACATACAGCATACATTTTCAGTTTGCCCTTCTCATTATATAACAACAGCTTTTCATAACTTCACATTAACTAGCAAATCTGCATATAAATGAAAATATATTTTCCTATAAATATTTATCTCAATTAATTTATTTTTAAATGGAAACTAAAAGCATTACTAATATGTTTTTAAATATTTGCATGGTTTTCATGTTATGTGCCTTGAATTTTTAAAAAAAGTATGTATCATACATAAATGATTGTTTGTTCAGTGTCAGCAGATGGAAAATTATGTTTAGCCATCAATCATCATACTTTCAAAAATAATTATCTGCGCATTTATATGCCAAGAGCAAAAATATGATTGTGTTTTGCGCAATAGAGTCAGTATTTAAAGCGTTTTGATGGAAAGTGTAATAACCACAAACATACTGTAAACTTATGTATTCGTATAAGTGCTTTATTGCATATAAGTAATAATAGGTATATATCTACGGATACACATACATGACAGTTGGGCGCTAATTAAAATTATTTAATATTACATGGAGGTAGTGGTCAGAAAAGTCGGTTTTAAAATTATATTAAAAATACAGATGCACACAATTTGTCACATATATCACAAAATGCAATGTAACAAAAATTACTTTTCCCAGATCTGCCCTCAATTACGTATCATTTGGGAATTGTGAATCAGTGCCATTATCAAAAGTTGATGGGCAGGCAAGCTTGAAAACAAACAAGTTAAGTAAATAGTATTCAGAAACAAAGTCCAATGACGGAATCCGAACCGACTGAAGCAAGATGTTCTTTAACGATGTTTATACCTAACATTCCCTTCTGGTTTGGGCGGGTGTATCCAACACTCAGAGGTACTTGAGATAGACTCATCGTTTATTATTCCGAGCTTGTCTGTCTTTATTTTCTTGTATTGAATATACTGATTGGCATTTTTGAGATATTTTCCTGAAATCTTGTCCGCCGACATGCTTCGGCCCATGGACAATCTCTACTGAAAATGGTTGAGCCGGGCAACTTTTTCAATCATCTCCCATATAAAGCCATATTTTGCAAAGTCATTGTGTGAATAAGTGTGTTACGTGTAGTGGTGTAGGGTATTTAATGATGGGTCGTATCGGTATATTAACAAAAATTGGTTGAAAAATCCATATATTTTCGTGGATGTCGTAGCATCCATTGTATGCATACAATAATATTCTGAGTACCTTACAAATCGCTTCTAATCAAATTGCCGATAGCACAACTAATTTTGAAATAATTTCACTGTCAATTTTTGCACCTTATTACAATTTTTACTACATCAATGTGTTAAGTAAACATAGGGTTTTAGTTCAACTAACTCAAGTCTATATCGTTCAAAAAAAGATTAAAGTATCAGAATATATTGATTTCGATTTCTACGTATTAAATTTCAACATAACCTGAGTTCATTCATAAAATTCTTTAACCAGTTGTTGACTTTTCCGTCTTTATTAAATAACGATTCCGGTTGAAAGAAATCAAACGCTACATATAGAAGATACAAGAGATAGAATGCAGATTACAGCAACTCGAAACTTTCTTTAAAACCTCGACTGTTTCCGGAATTAATTTTTCTTCTCAATAATTAGTTGATATATACATGCACGCATGCTTATGTAAACTCCTTTAAAGAATGCTATTCCAAAAGAGGCCTCACCTAAACATATAGATTAACAATAGCAAGGGTATGATTTCATATTTGGTGCTAAACGTGGCATATGCCTATGGACATATACGCGCACTTACGTGGACTTAGCTAAGGAGAAAACTATAGCGAATGAAAATAATTCTCTTTGAAATTTTTAAATTGAAGCACGAAATGGATTTAAACACATTCAACAAATTAATAAAAAAAGCGACGTAAAGTGACTTTACTTTTTAGATTCCGTTAAAGTGGAAATCTAAATAAAATCTCTACAAGGGGCATTCCTCTTTCGCATAATGTTTGTTAATTTTTATACTTGTATCTTCAAGAATATTCGTTAAAGTTAACAGTAGATTCTACTCAATTCAATTTCTAATAAGTTTAGCATTGTTTTATATCGAAGAAGCTTACATCGAGGTATTTCTTTGTACATATATATATGACAGGTCCTTATCATAGCAATGCATATATATTATACGAGTACGTATTCTTTTGGCTTGTTTCTTCTTCTTTGCAATAAATAGTAAAAATGCATTAGAGCTCGTTTAAAAAAAAAAAGAGTTTTTATGCAGGACGATGCAAGCAAAATAACAAAAATAATGATAATAATAGTGTGGACATTGCGGCATATATTTCAGTTTAAATCAAAAACTGGTAGGATATTCTCTGTATATATCGATCCTTTCTAGGAATTCTGAAACATTAAGCGAAATTAATAACTTATGGCTAAAAAAACTTATAAGAAAACTTTGGCGTTAACAATATTCCAGTATTGAACGAATTGGAACAAAACTTCCGTATGCTTACAAATTTTCCCCTTACATATAAAAACTTAAGACGTCAGATTAAGTTTAAAAGGTGAAAAGTAGTGTGGAGCTATTATAGTATATAGTGTCATGATGGCGCATGTGCAACATGCTATGCGAGGCGAAAGAGTGTCAAGCATCACTATGGAAACATTTAGATTCCATAGGCCGTAAATAATTGCGCTGTGCTAAGACTAAAATGAATGCTATACTAGTCTAAAGTCCTGCTTTGGAAGGCAATGATTCCTTCTTGCCAAATTCTGATGAAACTTTAAAATATAAAGTATACCGGCTGCTGAATGTAAATTTTGAATTGCTAACCACATAACGGAACAAAGCTTTATCTCTGTCGAAATTTGAAAAATTTGTAGCACAGATACATGGTCATCATTAGAAAATCCACAGCGTTTTTTTCTTAGGTGGGACTACAATTTTTCTTGTTTGGCTCTCAGCCATGTTTAAGGTTTTACCCATAATTGAAAAGATTAAAATAGGCAGCGAAACCCTTTGTTACTCCTAATACAATTCGATGTTGTTTTTTAGACGCTCTGCGCCCAGAAGCCAGAGACTTTATATGATACAGAGAAAAAAAGAGATTTTTATATATATTTGCTCAAAGATAATTTTTTACGACTTGCTGTAAAGAAATATGCTTTTGTCAAAGCAAAATATTTCAAAAACGTAATAAAAATTATGTATTGAAACAAATACTCTGCATAGGTTAAAGCGCATAAAGTGATAAAGAAAGGTTACTAACTTATGTATAAGCCATCGCCTTGACATATTCGTGATCATAAAAGTATATTGCTATCATCGTCAGTAACAACAACATTAATAACCGTAAAAAAATGTTGAATTGCATTTTATGACCATTTCGAGTTCAGTAACTAAGGCAATTATTGAAAACTTAATTTTACTAAATACACGATTTTTCTAGCCCATCGAGCTATAAAATTTGTGCTTTTAATGATTTTTAGATAATTTTTGTAGAAAACTTTTTGCTATAAAAACAACCGCAATTGCTTGAAAACTTCGTCAATTTGCAGTAACATTTACAGTGATTACAGCTGAAAAAATCAAAACTAAAACAAAAATGTTGGGTCGTCTTAGGTAAGCGTTCGCTTCCAAACCGAAAATAATAACAAAAAAAAAAAAATATATATATATATATATATATATATATATATAAACGAAAGATATCCTGATTGTTTTTTTTTTTTTTTTTAATAAAAATTATTTTGCTTTACACTTTTTGCAGTGCTTTGTTGTTGGTTGTTTGCGTAAGCAGTGCCTGGGGTATTCCCTTCCTTAGAGAATGCACCAACGTTAAAGTTGTTGAAAACTTCAACTTGGATAAAGTAATTGACAAAAAAAAATAAACTTTTATTTTTTAATAACAGGAAATAACAATGAGTAAAAATGTTATTTTAGTTCATGGGTACCTGGTATGTCTACTCTGGCTATCCCGCTGTTCACAATGCCGAACAAAAATGCCAAACTGAAGTCTATGAAAAGAAAGGTGACAATATCGTTGAAATGAAGAGCTCCAGCTACTACACTAAGTATGTGTTCATAACACTTCAGGAACTCACACGGTTTTTAATAAAATATTTCTTTCAATTTCAAGGACTGGTTCTTTCGATACCTACAAGACTTCTGCTCGTTATGCTGCTCCCGCTAAATTCGCCATGACTTTCAACCAAGGTAACTAAAAACAATAAAATTTTCGCTTAAATATTTTACTGACTGACGTGATTTCGTTCCTGTTCTCTTAGAATACCCCAACCAACCCAACTACTTTGTTTTGGGTACTGATTACGAACACTATGCTGTCATCTACAACTGCATGGAATTCGATAAGCCCGCTCACACTGAAATGCTCTGGATCTTGACCCGTGAACGTGTACCTCAAGCCGAATATGTTCATGCTGCTGAAGAAATCGTCAAGGAACATCACTTCCCCACCAACGCCTTGTTCCCCATTGATCAACGTAATTGCCTTGCTAACCAATACAAAACTCTTTAAATTGTTTTTTTCCAAAAGGAGTTAATTAAAGTAAAATAATGTAAACATTTCTTGGAAAGAAAATAAAAGATTTATAGAAAAAATATTAAAACAGATGTTATTAACTTGCATCTAGGATAATCTTTTTCCCTGTTTCATACGCAAGACATTGGATTTTAACGCCGAGATTGATTTACTTCAGAATGCATTCAGTTGTGTGTTCTGCTTGCTAGCTTTGTAGGCTTCGATCTAAGCTGGGGTTATCTAAGCGATTATTTTAAAATATTTCTTTCGTTTTCAGCCCCCTGGGAAATAAGATGAGATTTGGAGAAAACGACAAAAAATTGATTAAAAGGGAAACCGCGTGAAGATGAATTGACTTAAATCTATTGTCGATCTTTTGAGTGCATCTATACTTTTTATCGTTAATCTCCTTCCATTTTTTACGCTTATAGCAATCGACATCTAAAAGCTAACAAATTGTTGCTTTAAGAAACAGTCTGATACAGGTGAAGATAAGCCAATCTGTGCCAACAGCAGGCCTTTGTTGACTTTGTGTAAGTTTCGATAGTAAATAACTTCCGTTATATGTGCAAAAAGAGCCGGCTTACGAAAAAAAACTAAATTGAGGAGTGGGCGCGGCTGATTTTTTCTATTTTCAATGTAAAACTTTTTGTTGCATAGGCGTGTGGGCCTTGCAGCCGTGTTCCTTTGGAATTTTTGGCTTACTCCTTTTGCAAATTTGTGGGCGATATTTTCATTTTCGCTAACGGAAGATTGTTATACAGTCGGGCAAACGGACAGACGGACAGACGAGTAAACGAACCGGGTTTTACAGCTTGTTTCTACTTGTTTCTAAAGGTATTGCAAAAATTAAATTTTGATGCACTATATTATTGGGCAGGCGGTGTAAATCTTTTCATTTTCATGCTGGTACTAAAACATTGCTCATAGAATTTGCGTTCAAATTTTTGAGCATTTGAGTCTGCTATAGTTTATGAAAAAACCAATTTTTTATTCCTTTTGAAAAACAGACATTTTCTCAGATTAGGTGGCAACGGGTCGGTGTCCTTCGACCGATTTGGCCTGATTTGAAAGCAGTCTTTTCAGGAGTAACAAGCAACCGTTACACACGATATGATTTAGTGAATCAAGTGGAAAGCGTGGAGTGTAAATACTCATATATCACAAGGACGTATTAGTAAAAGACCAGTGACCTTAACTGTAAATCAAATTCCGAAATATGAAAATTTTTGTAGCGTTTCCCTATTCATTAATTAAACAAAAAAATCTGTTAAATCAAAATCTACAAACCATGACAACAAGCATTGATTTTATTCTTTATTTATATTTTATTAATTAATTTTATTTTTTTAATAGCAAAGCATTTTATCACATCGCAGTAACGCACGCACAGACTAAAACGAACTTTTGCTTTAATTTGAAATTTTGTTTTACAAAAATCATTAAAAAAAAAAAAAAAAAAAAAGTTCCTTCATCTATAAAACTTGAGGGCAATATTTGTGTTTCGAACAAAGTGTTTTTAGCATTTACACAGTCATCATCATCATCGTCAGCTCTCTACGTGGAACAACTGTAATAAAATTTAGAATGGAAAACTAATGGGAAAAAAAAAATATTCTAAAAAAATGTGTATATAAATAAAATAAAAAAAATTTAAAAAAATCTTTTTCAAAAGTTAAAACACACTTTGAATGCATACGTGCAGCACACGTAACGTGGGTTTTAATTTAATTAATAAAACTTTTCAAATCAAAAGTGAGTGTGAAGAAGACAGAAAAAGAGGGTGTGTAGGAGAGAGAGAAATAGAGAGAGAAAAGAAAATTAAATATTACAAAAATGAATATGTTGATGAACGTGAGGTGAGAGAGTTTGAAAATAAATCCATTTCTTTTATTTACTAAATAGTAATGAACGAATGCCTTTAGAAAATTTATAAAAAAAACTTTTAAATGCAACAAAAATGATTAAAAAGATATCAAAAAAATGCATTATTTTCAGAATTTCGCTTTTGTTCTGTTTATTCACGAATGCTCTTATATTTGGTCAAATACCGTTTCCGAAAAGTTGCCAAAATGTTGAAATTATGAAAGACTTCGATGTGAATAAGGTGAGTAGCAACAACACATGTACAAATTATTGATGAAACTAAGAAAAAGAAGAAGCCTTACAGGTCAGGTACAAGTCTGCATAGCATATTTATTATACGGAATCCAATGAGGAAAAGCCGTTTCCATGGCCAAATGAAATATAAAACATATTTATAAACACTGATGAAAGTAATGCCTAAGGTTGTCTCAATCTCAGAGTATGGCACATGTCGATCGTGGATTATTAGCACAGCACACTATCACTATTTTCTAATTTTGAGCGACCTTTACGACTTTCGTTACTGAGCGAACGACAGCTGCCAGTAAAAATCAGCTTTTCACAGTGGTAAAGAATGGATTTTCATAACCAAAAGTGAAAGCAAGTTGAACGATCATTGCCCGAAAATTTTCACCAGTTTTTCATTGAGTTAATATTTTCAACTCACTGCGAACGACATAAATATTCTGACCAAGTCAATAGTGTGACATTTTCGAATGGAAAATTTAAAGGTCGGTCAACGTGATGGCTAAAGGTGGAAATATAAATGATGCCTTCATATTCGATTCTTTTAATTTTCTTTTAAAAGGTAACGGTAATGGTTCGGTTCGGTTCGGTTTGGGAAATTTCAATTTCTGAATAATAATAAGCTCAAATTTTTGTTCCCTTAAAATCTGGTTCAGCTTTTGAGTTATTGTGGTTGCACTAATGGACGAATCATATCTATTTTAAACATGAAATAAACGTTTCCGCCAATTTTCAATGCTCGCAAATTTGACAATTGTATTAAGACGCAAAGATATTCTGTTGAATATTTCTAAATTATTCCCTTACACTGACCAAAAATGTATAAGCTCTCTATTTCGCAAGTGAAGTAAATCTTATCGACTGGAAAATTAAGACAGAAGTTTCACAACTTTTGTGTTATCACTAACGTACTGTTCTCAACTCATGTATTTCCGTTGAGTTATTCCGTTTGGGAAGATTGCGCCACGGCAATGTCTACATATTTACTTTTTGATAAAGCCTGACAAACGATAAAGAAAGAATTCGCTTTCTCACGCCCCAACCAGAAGTAGATGTATTCGCCATTGAATCAATGTCTGAGTGAAGGACATCTTTAGCAATGAGTCCCAACCATCGGAGTCTCTTTTAAAATGTTCACCTTTTAAAGTACACGTTTAGCATTGGCGTTGGATTCATATAAAAAAAAAAAAATCTTACTTGATCACGATAAATTTCTTAACGAATTTGCTCGTTCTGTGTTTAATTGCAAGCGACTGTGAGCATATTCATGGCTGGTGCACATTCCCCGCCAAGAACTTGTTCGTGTAGCATTTTATGCTAATTACATACCTTTGCTTAAGTGCTTAATCAACAGGTGATATCTATTGCCTCAGTTGCTTGCAATTATAGACTACTGTTCATAGTAAATGTTGCATCATGTAACTGAGACAACGCTTTCAGACCTAAATGCCACTGCATGTGAATATAAAATGATGAAAATATTAACGACATGAGATTATGTCTTGCCTCTATTTAAGTTTTGGGGAAGACACATTTACTTTCTTATCTCCACTACCGGAGTTTAAAACTATATTCATTTTTTCAAAACGCTTGCAACACACAAGAGGAGATTTCCGAGACCTTCTTGGTGAGTATTAAATTGTGTATTAATCTACACACGTCCACCTGTCCGTCCGTCTGTCCGTCTGTCCATCTATGCATTTGCCAACCTACCTACCTGCCAGCATAATATATTTGGCAAACATTTTGCCTGCCGCTCGCATAACGATTTCCATCTAAGTCTTCTTTTTATACGTTTGAGTAGAAGAATTGAAGACTTGCAATTTTCCTTGCTAGAAGCATTCTCTGACATGTATTTTAGGTTTGGTAGGATAAATTTCACAAAAGTGTGCGATCTTTCTTTGTTCGGTCAGTGCGTATCCAACAAACAATTTTTTACTCGTTTAGCTTATTACAAGAATTCGCACACTGCGACACTTATTATATATATATTTTATTACTTTATTACCTCTGTGCATGTCATAATCGCAGCGAAATTCTAACAGAGAAATAACACGACAAAATTATACGTTTTAGCAAACAAATAGTGATAAAACAATTTTACAACAGTATCTATACAATGCAAGGGAAAATTAGCAAAGCGTGTCCAATATAAAATGTATAGGATTGTAATTAGTGATGCGTGTTCCTCAAGTGTCGTTCGAGTTGAAGCTAAGAACAGGATGGCGCTTGATAGTCGCCGGTAAGTCTTGTACGCAAATTGCGAATCGAAGTCGGGCTAAATCGGTTAAATCGTACCCTTACAGTGTAACAATAACAGAGAAAAGTTGATTACCAAGTACGTCATTTTGATCTTTTTTAATTTTCGCCACGTTTCCTATAAAAGAAAAAAAAAAATCTTAAGCCGAAAAATAAATTTCAATGTTATATAATATTGTGTGTGGGAAGGCTGCTGAATTTTATCACTTAAGTGTTTTCTTTGAATCTTTCTTTGCAAGTATATGGGTAAATGGTATGCGTATCTGACATACCCCTACACATGGTATACAGGAATCAAGTGTCTGCATCACACTTATGAGAATGAAAAGAACGGTTTAATAACTATTAATACGTCGTCTTATTTCGAATTGTGAGATCAAATAAATAGAAAATATATTTAAGAGAAATTTTTATACATATTTTTCTTGTCACTTCAGAACTAACTATACCAACGAGTATAGTACAACAGCTCAGATGGAAGGTTCAGAGGGATTGCTTAAATTAAACCATATGAACAGTTTGTATTCAAGTTGTATTAAAGAGATGTATGAGTAAAAGTTTGAGAATATAAAAATTTTTAGTAAACTTTCACAGCTCGGATTATATAATATTAGGTACCGATTATGATAACTGGTCTGTGGTATATAGTTGTAAAAATTTTACTTCGTTAATGCACACAGGTATGTAATATGTACGGAAAGTTTTGCCTGCTCATATATAAATAATTCACAAATAAATTATAAATTTTAGAAATGGTTTGGATACTCACTCGTCAGCGCCAGCCGGATATGGATGCTATTAAAAAAGCTCAAAGAGTAATGAGTAATAACGATGTTTCGGTTAAGTTTTTAGTATCAATGGGTCAAACTAATTGCCCCGATGATGAGACTGATGTGGAATTAAATCTTACCGATAGAACTGTTAGCGTGTTAAGTAGACCCTGAGATTGGTTAATGCGTCTTCTTAGACGCATTTATCTAATGATCATCAACTATGTATTTACTTATGCAAATTAAAATCAATTTGGATCGATCAATTTTCTTGACGCCAAAACACAGTAACTACCATTCTTATCTTCAATAACCGTTTAGTTAGTCTTATATGTCTCTTGGAGAAAGTTCTTCAGTTCTCAAAGAGAAAAATTTTCGATATTTTGAATTCTAATATTAAGATATTCAAGGAAGAACCCCGTTTGTAGAGGGTCTCTATATGCTTTTTTGTTATTTTAAAGTTCAACTTGGTCTGGCAGGTTCAACTTGCCAAGCTGGACACCAACCTCCGTAAGGCGCATTGGGTCCTTTGCAAACATCTTCAGTCTATTCAAACTTTCTCGTAATATTTCTTCAGAAAATATTTGACCGGCTTGTGAAATAACTCGGGTCGAGTAACGTGCTTCTTGGAAGACTACAAAACAGAGAACCAATTCTAACCGGGATATCTTAGGTAGAAGTTGACAAAATTGGATATTTACGTTGTTTTAGGGGAATATTGCAAGTAGCCGTGGAAAATGAAGTGTTATGGGTGCTGATTTTGACTTTTGATAAGCTTTAGCTACACAATTATTTTCTAGTCTGTAAATACGAAACCGAAATGTGCCGATAAATTGTGCTAATAGCACGTGTAGACAACGGGCTTGTCTAAAGCTGCGTCTTTTATAGTTTGTTAGCTTTTATATTTGTTATATATTGTAAAAGAAAGGATGCTTTGTCAATCCTACTTGAGACATAAGATGTTGTAGGCTTGCAGCCCAAGCAAAGCAAAATTTTTCAGCCGATAATGCCAGCGACGGCAAGACACAATGTTGTTAATCACTTTTCAATTATTGTTGGAATTGTCGGCAGGTTTCACGTGGGACATATACAGGAAAAAAGATTAAACTAGAAGTTGTCAGACATTTTTATACTTCCTTTTTTTTTTGAGATCATGCCACTTTTCTAAGAAGTCTGTGAAGCGTAGAGTTTGTACGCTCGTCGGTTCTGCTCAAAATTACTCATTTTGTGCACAGGAGAGACGGCAGGTATCCGTGATCTGTAACTGAGAACAACAGCTTAAAAATTGCCTACATACTGAGGCATAGCGAATTCAAAAGTAAGCTTAGCAAGTAAGAAACTCTTATATTAGCGCTCGTAAACATAGCCAATAATACCAAATCTAAAAAGGACCCTTTGGAAGATCGTAATTTAATGAAACAAATTTTTTTTCAAGTAACTACTAAAAGTAGGCATCTGCTTTCATCTGCCTAAGCAACCGATTAGACAAAGGATCTCGACAAACAACTTATTAGCAGTGGCTTTAGATGCTATGGCTTTAACACTTTAGTCTTAGAACCTGTTTCTCCAGCTTTCTTCTTCTTTAAGGTAGTCGTCTTTCTTCCATTTAAAGTAATACATAAAAAATTTAACTTACATACGGCCAAATACATCCCTCTTGTCAAGTATATTAATATATAATTACAAGCATAAATATGCTTTTCAATATGAAACAACCACGGGAGGGTAAGGTATACGAAGGTTTTCATAAGAGACGTACACCCAGCAAAGCCAAGCCAAGCCGCCCGTACCGTATACGTACTGGCAGACGGAGAGTTGACTGAGTGGCTGGCTTGGTTCTGTTAACTGAATGGCTGACATGATGAATAACAATAATAATATGGTAGAAAATGATCAATCACTTAATGTCAATTGCATTACACAGAAGCAGCGAGAAAACAAAACAAAGAAAAAAGAGCATCCATTTAAGCAGCGCTTGTTCATAGCCGATTCATGTGTGCGCGCATACGTGACAATCAGTTAAATGAGTTTATTAAGTAAATAAATTTTGTTGAACGCAAACGACAAGAATAAATACATTTAAAGCTTTTACTTTAATATCCTTTCGAAAAGCAGGAAAGTTTTTGTAAGTTCGTTACTTTAATTTCATTTCGTTCTGATTTTGTGTAATGTATTATTTTTGCGAGCACAAATCATGTGAAATAAAACAAATGCTTATACGAAAAGAAATGTTATGTGTTATTATCATTGTTCTTCATTCTTCATAAAGCAGTGAAAGAATATATTTATATCTATATAATAAATGATAAAACAAAAATAAATTTGTGAGAGCAGCAAGCATGAAATGTAAAAAAGCGCACAAACATAGTGTAAACATAATAAATAAAAAGCAAAAGAAGCAAAAATGAAACGTAGTGGTGTCAACTTTTAAGGAGTAAAAGCAAAAAGCAAGCTATGGACAAAAGAAATAATACAAAAGTATATACATACATACATAAATACATACATACTTACATACATACATACATACATACATATGGAGGAGACAGGCAGTATGTGCTATGCAATGCAATGCAATGCGTTACTTATATATGGTATGGATGGCAGTAGAGGACATCCTTATGGTATCATAACCAGCCAAGCGCAATGTAATATGACACTGTAGCACTGCTGGGGCCCGACACAAATAGCAATTGTATTTCTTTAAAATAAAAAAAGTGAAAAAAAAAAGAAAAAACGAAAAACTTATGTGAAAACGCGACACATATAGAGAAAGCTTTATAACTGGCTAACATTGTGTCAAGCAGAAGAAGAAAAAAAAAAAAATGGTCGAAGAAGAAGAAATTGTATTATGAAAAATATTCACGTATCTAGCGTAACAGTTTTTCTCTTTGCTTTGGCATAAAAGAGATCAACAAATAAATGAACATAAAACCCGTGAACACAAAAACAAATGTAAAAACCTAAAAAAAAAAAAAAAAAAAAAAAAAAAAAGATTTCCAATGCTATACTTCTCAACGCCAGGGGGGGGAAAGAAGAGACCATCACCACTCAGCCTTTGTTTGTATGGTATTGTTAAGTTTTGTTTACAATGCTATAGTTATTGTAAGAAGTCCTTGTTGCAAGTGATATTTTAGTGTACGTGCGGTGCGCATTGCATTTATACAGAAATAAAAACGAACTAAACTAGTTTTTGAAGATTGTATATATCATGTGTTTTGTGCAAATGTGTACAGCAATGTTTTGGCGTGCGTTTGCTTCCTCTTTACATTAGACGTAAGTGTATAGCGTGTGGGTGTATTTCATTTTGCAAATCCGTTTTTCCAAATCTACCATAACTCATACGTACAATATACAATATCTACTGTATATTTATCTATATTTTATATAAAATTCATATATCTCTCTTTTTTTGCGATATGTTTCGCCGTGTGTGTGCATGTGTGCATGTGTGCATGTGTGCATGTTCACCAGTGTACCTTTAGTACATTTTCATTGCATTTGCATATGCGAATATTATAAATATATATTTATGAATATAAATCAAAATGTGTCGGCATCATAAAGAATGCACTACAATAACACAGAGGACACAGAGGAAACATAGAAAATAGTTTCTAGTACTGATCGTACAGATAACATTCAGCTTTTTGTTACAAGCTACCTGCTTTAATAAATTAATTGGTTGGTAAATCATTAAAAGTAGTTGGGCCTTTAGAAGATTATCAACTTTGACGGGTTGGGGAAGTGGCTACGTGCACTGTACTCGCAACAAGAATGCAGTTTGAAAATTGAACGGAAACTGACTTGATTTTGTGCGTCGTTCGACTTACTGAGATTGACCCCCCAACGCCAGCAAAAAATGAAGACATGACAGACTTGGCTTTCCATTTCTTCTATCCCAATAAGTACAGTTGAGACGCCACAAAATAAATACATTTGTGATTAGTGGAAAATTGGGATTAAATTCATTTACTATTACTATTATATATGATATATTTAGCAATAATAACGAAAAAAACCGGACAGACGGGCAGATTGTGATCAAAAAGTACGCAGAATTTTTTCATAAATTGCAAACCCACTGTATAGATGTCAATGATAGTGCTACCAACTCATAAAAATATACAATTTCCATGGTTCCGTAGTATCCGCGAACGACATGAAAATTTTGCACCTTATACTCTCTATATCGCCTAAAGTACACATATACTTATAAATGCAAACACTTTCCTATTCGAAATTGCTATTTCTAATCTTCAGCAGCAAAGTAATTTATCCCGTCCAAGTGTGCGGAACATAGTTTTTGGGACTTTCGATGAGAGTCATGTCTAATTCAAAAAAAGCCCAAAGACGGTAGATTTTGCATTTTCTGATCTATCTGAACGTAACTGCTACCTACGAAACCGCGTAGCGGGGAATGAAAAATGAATGACGACCACGGTGTAGTGTGACGGTATAGGTTACGTTAATAATTAACATTTCCCATAAAGGCAAATATTCTTAGTATTTTCATTGGAGGTGGCTAGCTGGGCAGTAATGACAGGGGCACTTCACTGGCATGTAGTAATTATTCCTCTTTCTGCTTGATAGATGTAAAAGCCAAGAGCTTATTTTCCGCCTGGGCAGCGCATGCATTCTTAAGAGGATAACCCAAAAATGAATGTTTGCGTGAATGCCCTCAAACGGTGTTGTCATTATAACAAGGCATTCAAGTATGTTTCTCAGAAGCATGGATAAAACGTCCATTTAACATAGAATAATATGTTCAATGCAATATTTTTATAACTGGCCCGGAATTAATTTTTATATCCAGTCTAATCTTAACGAATGGCTGCATATCAAGTTCTAGGTTTTATTCGCCGTCAGCTATGGTCACCGCAGGCGAAATTCTCCACATTACCTAACGTTGATTTGAAGTTTGAGATACAGCCTTGGGAGAAGATTTTCAATACCAAAGACCGGTAGGTAATAATCAGATGTAAAAGGGATTGATCTGAAAGCTATTACCAATATTTTAGGTTGATTCCTATCAATCGCATGGCTACATCTAACAATATATTGATAGTATCTTGTTCCTTTCGATCAATCAGATGATAAAATTCGATAAGAGAAGATGTGAATAAATGAAAAAGAAAAAAATTATTCTTCTTTGCCGCGCCCGGGTTGATCAATGCGTTTTCCCAATAAAGGAATTGAAGAGTAGAAGCGATTTTGGTCCGC